ACATTTGGAACAGCGTTTTAATGTTAAAAAAACAAAAATTTTGTTGTTTTTTAACAAAATCTGCCTCTGACGTTCAGAACGGCGTTTTAATGTTTAAAAAACAACAATTTTGTTGTTTTTTTTAACAAAAATCTGCCTTTGACGTTCAGAATGGCGATTTAATATTAAAAACAACAATTTTGTTAGTTTTTTAACAAAAATTCGCCTTTGACGTTCGGAACGGCGTTTTAATGTTAAAAAAACAACAATTTTGTATTTTTTAACAAAAATCCGCGTCTGACTTTTAGGGTGGCATTTTATTATTAAAATTTAATTTTTTTAATAATAAATGCTGCGTCTGACTTTCAGGGCGGCATTTTAATATAAAAATTAATAAAAAATTAACTTTTTATTAAAAATGCCGCGTCTGACTTTCGGGGTGGCATTTTTATATAAAAAATTAATAAAAATTGATTTTTTTATTAATTAATGCCACGTCCGACTTTTGAGGCGGCATTTTTATATAAAAAATTAATAAAAATTGATTTTTTTATTAATTAATGCAATTAATGCTGCATCCGACTTTCGGGGTAGCATTTTTATATAAAAATTAATAAAAATTGATTTTTTTATTAATAAATGCCACGACCGACTTTTGGGGCAGCATTTTTATATAAAAAATTAATAAAAATTGATTTTTTTATTAATAAATGCTGCGTCCGACTTTTTGGGTGGCATTTTTATATAAAAAATTAATAAAAATTGATTTTTTTATTAATTAATGCTGCGTCTGACTTTTGGAGCAGCATTTTTATATAAAAAATTAATAAAAATTGATTTTTTTATTAATTAATGTCACGTCTGACTTTTGGGGTGACATTTTTATATAAAAATTAATAAAAATTGATTTTTTTATTAATAAATGCTGCGTCTGACTTTTGGGGCAGCATTTTTATATAAAAATTAATAAAAATTGATTTTTTTATTAATTAATGCTGCGTCCGACTTTTGGGATGGCATTTATTAATAAAAAAATTAATTTTATTAATAAATGTCGCGTCTGACTTTCGGGCGGCATTTTTATATAAAAAATTAATAAAAATTAATTTTTTTTATTAATAAATGTTGCATCCGACTTTCGGGGTGGCATTTTTATATAAAAAATTAATAAAAATGATTTTTTATTAATAAATGCCGCGTCTGACTTTTGGGGCGGCATTTTTATATAAAAATTAATAAAAATTGATTTTTTTTATTAATAAATGCCGCGTTCGACTTTTGGGGCGGCATTTTTATATAAAAATTAATAAAAATTGATTTTTTTTATTAATAAATGCTGCGTTCGACTTTTGGGGCGGCATTTTATTATTAAAATTTAATTTTTTTAATAATAAATGCTACATCCGACTTTTGGGGCGGCATTTTATTATTAAAATTTAATTTTTACTAATAAATGCTGTGTCCGACTTTTGGAACGACATTTTGTTATAAAAATTAATTTTTTTTATTAATAAATGCTGCATCCAACTTTTGGGGTGGCATTTTATTATTAAACATTAATTTTTTAATAATAAATGCCATATCCAACTTTCGGGCGGCATTTTATTATTAAAAATAAAATTTTTTTTAATAATAAATGCTACCTCTGACTTTCGGGACGGCATTTTGTTATAAAAATTAATGAAAAATTAATTTTTTATTAATAAATTCCGCCTCAGACTTTCGGGGCGACATTTTAATATTAAAAATTAATAAAAATGAATTTTTTAATAATAAATGTCACATCTGACTTTTGGGGTGGCATTTTATTATTAAACATTAATTTTTTTAATAATAAATGCTGCCTCCAACTTTTGGGACGGCATTTTGTTATTAAAATTAATAAAAATTAATTTTTTAATAATAAATGCTGTGTTCGACTTTCGGGCGACATTTTATTATTAAAAATTAAACTTTTTTAATAATAAATGCTGCGTCTGACTTTCGGGCAGCATTTTATTATTAAAAATTAAACTTTTTTAATAATAAATGCTGTGTCCGACTTTCGGGCGGCATTTTATTATTAAAAATTAAACTTTTTTAATAATAAATGCTGCGTCTGACTTTCGGACGGCATTTTATTATTAAAAATTAAACTTTTTTAATAATAAATACTGCATCTGACTTCGGGGCGGCATTTTTATTTCAAATTCAACAAATCGGATCTGAATCCAAATCCGAATCTGACAGATCGAATTTGAATCCAAATCCAAATCCATCGGATTGAATCAAATCTGAATCCAAATCTGATCCAGATCCGACAGATCGAATCAAATCAAAATCCAGATCCGAATCTGATTCGAATCTGATAAATCCGATTTGATCTGATCTGTCAGATTCAGATCAGATTCGGATTGAATCAGATTTTTTGCGAAACACTAATCAAGCTTATAGCGAGCTACGTGAAAGAGAAAGCGAATTTTATATATATATAAACCAATGCTAGACCAATTTCAAATAAATTGCGAATAAATTTTCTACAAGTTTTTTATTAATATCATACAGATTTATTACTAGCAAACTATGAGCAAAAAACAAATAACCCATATTCGTAAATTTCTTAGATCAGATGCCTGACACTTATTATCCAAAGCTATTGAAGAAATTAGAAATACTCAGAATAATATTTCAGATGTTCAGCGTATTATATGTAAAAAACATCATATAGGATCAATAATATATCAAAAAATCATTGATAATCAAAGGATTTCTGAATTAACTGAGAAATAGCGTAGAATATTAGAATCTGTTAATATCTCTGATCAGATTTTAGAAGATAAATAGAAATCTTCACAGTCTAGAGGCATAGAATATGATACTTTCTCTTTTACTAACTTAAAAGAAGATAGGATCATTCATATGGATCATTCTGCAGATGATGAGAATAGCGCAAATTCTCATATGAATTCTAATAGTCTAATTATAGTAACTAGCAGGAAAAAAGATAAGGTTAGTTAGAAAAAAACAGTTAGTATAAAACTAAAAGGTGAATCTTCTCCTTCAGTCAGTGACTTTAGTGAAAAAAAAATAAAAACATAGGTAGATAATGTTTGCTAAAGCAATCTGATTTATCTAGATAGGAAACTAAACTTAATAAATTAATAAATATTACTAGAGACATTGTTACGCATCTGATCTTTTCTCTGTAAGTTGAGAGTACCTTTCTGCAAGAATTTTACCTGTATTTAACGTCATGTCAAACCATCTTTCAGTTTTTAAGAAGTACTTTTCAAGCTCTTCGCATTTTTTTAAATCCTTCTAGTTGGATCAGAAGAGTTAGCAGATACTTAAGGTGATAATTCATACTCCTTTTTTGGCAGACCTTTAACTACTAGAAGCTTGTTAAATGTTGGGATAATATATGCCTTTTCATATAACTTTATGTGAAACTGGTTTTTATTTAGCTCAGGGACACTTTGAATCTTTTGAATGTTTGACATATCAAAAAATAGCATTAGTTCTATTTCACTATTATCAATATAAATAAATATCTAATAACTGTGACTGTCTTATCTTCTTTATTCTTCAAGGTAACTGACATGTCTGTATACTATCCTAATGAATCAGTGATATGCTTGGAATTGCCCTTTATAGCAAAATTAGATGGTTTATCAGCCTTCCATCCAAGTGCTTTGATTGCTAGATCATTTATACTATTGAACTCACTGCTAGGATTTAAAAAAGATTCAGAAATAGTTAAGTTATTTATATTAGCATTTAGATATTGTAAAGATGACAACTACTCATCTGATTCTTTCAATTCATCCTCCTGAGTCTTTTGAGATAAGCTCATTTTTCGTATTGATAGTGAGAGCTTAGACAATAACTGATCATATGTTTTAGGCTGACTAGTTACTGGAGATAGCCTATCATTTATCAGTTCCTGTTTTTTTTTACTGATGCATAATACCATCTACTTTCTTCTAGATTATCATAACCATCCCACCATGTTTCTTATTATCTGAACCTAAGGACATGAATTAAAGATTTATAGATTTGAGAGGCTTGTAATAAGAACGATTGAAATTAGATTGTGCAATTAGTTTATTAGAACAACTGCTTTTATTATGACCTGTTTTCCCACAAATATCACATTTATGAATATTTAGTTTCTTAAAATTGATTGTTAATTGATTTATAGTATCACGAGTTTCATCAAGTCTATCTTTGATCTTATCAAATCTACTATAATTATCGTTTCGCTATGAACGAGGTCTTTGAAAAGGTTTTACAGGATAATTTGAGTCTAAATCTTCCTTATTAAGTAAATCCACTTCTTTCAAGTATTCAGCTACATAATAATTTTTCATACCTTCTTCTGTTTTCAATGAAGATGGAGAACCTTTCAGCTGTCTAACTGGCTCAACAGTTTGCAGAGCTGATGTCTGTGCTTTTTGAATAACTGTTTGCTGGAACATTTGTAATTGAAAATCAGCCTTTTACTTTTTCTAATAAAAACTGGTATTCAGTTTTTTGCTGTGCCAATGCGTCTTAGATCCCTTTTTGCATATCTTCTAAAGAAATTCCTTGCTGTTAAAAAGGTGAAGATTCATATATTTGTCAAGATGCTTATTGAGATATTAGTGAATCAGCTGTTCTATCTCTTTTATATCTAGCTATTCAACATAACTCTATTTCATAAAGCTTTTTGGATAATACTTCTAATGTCAAATATTTACTGATATCTTCAGCTTTTTCAAGCTATAGTAGTGGAAGAGCATCTAAGAACTTTTTATGTAATTCTTCAGGTCTATAGTTAGCTTGTCTATCTATTCGTAATATTTTTCTATATAATTCATCTATAGTCATGTCTCCCTTTGTGATCGTTCTATACATCATATCCTGAAGCTCTTCTTCTACTGTAGGAAAATGAGTTTTTAATTACCATACAGCTTGACCAAATTGAATACCAGCAACAACTACTATAGTACTATTATCAGCATTTGGTAGATTAACAGGAACATTAGTAGAACGACCTCCTATCATATACCAGTCTTCATTCCAAGGACCTTCTACAACTCTTAATTTGACTATTGCATTTCCAGGTTGTTCAGCTGTCTCATTTAATCCATCAGCACCTATCTGAAGAGCTATACATCTATTTACTGCAACCAAATTGCCTTGTCCTGTACCATTAGTTAGGTTAGTTAATTCACAATTTGTCTTTGTAGTAATCTTCTTATTGAACAATTCTAGGATTCTTCCACTCATACATCCTTTTAAATACTCTATTGCTACTTCTCTTCCAGTTAGTAGAGTGCCTGCATTATCTGCTGAATTTACACCTTGATTTTGAAAGTATAATCTAAGTTTTACAAGAAAATCTGGAATATCATTATTCCACTTAAAAAATGGTTGAAAAATTTCTGCCATGTTTAGTTGATTAGGTGGATTATTCTATAGTGCTAAAATTTATTCCTGCAAATTTAAAATATTCTGATCCCTTTGCCTAATCACTAACTAATAAACAAACTTTTCACGTAGTAACTTACTAATATGAGTTTGTTTTTTTGCTATAATAACTATCATCCTATTTACCTGATTTTGGGCATTGATCTACAACTGATGGGTATTTTGCTGAAGACAGTTAGTATTTTACTGATATAATAATCAGAAAGCAAAACTTTCTCATAATAATTCACTAATACATGTTTGCTTTCTTGCTATATTACATATCATTCTATTCACCTAGTTTTAAGTATTAGTTTGATATTGCTGAAGATTACTAACAATTCTATCCATTGCTTCTTCAGCAAGATTTTTTCATATTATTTCATTATTCTTTTCAGCCTCTGCATCATAACACCTTCTTTGCTCTCAAGTTAAATCCTGTTGTAAACCATTAAATTTTTGACGAATTTGTCTTGTTGCCCTTTTATTTGGTTTGATAAAATATCTATACATATTATTCTATTATCCACATAACTATCTATAGCATCTGCTAGCTCTATAATTGTGATCATATTATCATCAAAATTATATAGGTTAGGAGAATTTTCTCGTACTGGTGAATTTTTCCTTGATGAGATAGTTCTGATCTGATATTGCAATCTTTCTACCTGCTCCTCAGATTCTACTAACTGCTTTTCTAAATTAGAGATATATTTTTCCTTATTTTACACATCCTTCTTAGCTTAATATAGCTGACTTTTTAGATTGGAGATTTCGGATCTAGCTCTGCTATCTCTTCTTCTGAAGCATTCTCAAGACACTTCATATTTTTATTGAAATCTTGGATTTCTTGCTCATACTGGTTATATTTATACTTCAGTTAATTGAACTGTTTCTTATTCAGGCGATTATTTTCTACCTCTGTATGTAATGCATCTTGAAGATGATAGTTATCCTTCTCCAACTCGGCTTTATATTCTTCATAGGTTCTTCTCTACCTTAGATGAGATCTGTAAAATGTCAAGAGATTCAGAATGAAAGAACCTTTGACTTATATCAATCCTTAAAAAATGCATGATCTTAATCGAAATCTTACCTTACAGAAGCTATATTATCAACTTGAAGGCCTTTACCAAAATATTAAAGGATTATGGGATGCATGTAAAAAAACTGGACATATCATCCTTTTTACTGATGTAAAAAAATGGCTTGATGATCAAGCAATATATCAAATCTTTCATTTTTCATCTAAGTATATATCTTATGCTAGCTATTCTAGAATTACAAAACTGAATACTGCATATCAGTGTGATTTAATTGAAATACCATATGATGATATGAATATAGATTTATTAGATGATAGTCCAATCTTTTCTATATATTGTTGGTTATAGACTGCGTAACTAGATATAAAGATTTCATTTTTTTAACATCAAAAAGTAGTGAAGAAGTTGCAGAAGCTTTTAAGAGTCTATATGATAATTCTGACAATCCTCTCAACTGGCCTCAAAAAATACAATGTGATCAAGGTCGCGAGTTTATGAGAAGTGTAATGTTGATAATGAATGAACATAATGTTAATATTTGAAGGATTATAGCACATTTCAGACACACAAGCTTGGCTATGGTTGATCATTATGCTGGATTATTCAAGTTTAAAGTTTTTAAAAATCAGTATTCAATAGAGTTTCTCCTACCTACTGAACGTTGTAGGGAATGGGAACAAATTGCAAGAAGAATTATTGACAATATGAATAATAACCCAACTCAATTAATTTGAATGAGTTCTAATGATGTCACAAAACTTGAGCAGGTGTATTTTAAGACATCAGTAAAATATAATCGTCTGATAGGTGTTGATGAATCACAGCTACCAAAAGATACTACTATCCGATTTTGCTTGTCTCTAGAGAGTGAGAAAATGATCCTTTTAAACGACATAGAATAACAGATCCAATATGGTCTTCCAGCCTACATAAAATTCAAAGAATTATTGTTAGAAAGAATCCTCTGATGCCTGTTTTGTATTATTTAGACGAATCAGGATCTCAGAGTCTCTTTGTAAGAAAACAATTAATACATATTAAGGAAGAGCTATATTGCCTCCTAAGTGAGTATTGGGAGATAACCAAAATATACACAAGGCGTTCCTTATAAAAGTTTTTAAGTCTACTACACAGTAAGGGATTGTTATAAGAATTATTCCTTTCTGATAACATAATGCTTTTTTTCCCAATCACGTCAGATTTGTACATCTAAATTCATCTATTCTTACGAATAAAAAAAGGTACAATTTGTTAATATTGGTTACCATTTTATTTGAAGGCCAAACCTAGTTCTTTATTATATCCATCTAGGTGTAAATCTTCTAAAAATTTAGGTTTTGGAGTGAGAATTTTTTATTTAATAAATCTTCGAATATATATCAACATGTTCTTTCTGATACATTAAGGCAAATATTATACCATCTATGATTCTGTTTCATATTTTTATATGAAGCCTACCATTGATAACCCTTTTTACATATCTATAAATAAATGTTAGAATTACTACTAACTCTAACAAAACACCTTCCTTCATATTTTTGGGCATAGGCTAAAGCTTTGGTATCAGTTCTGATATAATTTTGCATTTTATAGGTGTAGAAGAATCGATCTGAATATATGCAAATCCAGATTGCTTATTCAGAAGTAGAATTAAACTTGGCTACTAGTATTGTATAAGCAAAAAAAAGATAAATATCTTTAGTACTTTTAGCGGAAATGAGATCGAACTTCTGCCTCACATCAATGTCCAAAACTACGCAAAGTAGCAGGTTATCATTAATATATTCATAAGAATCAGGTAATCCATAAATCTCAGAAGGATAATCAACTAGTGTAAAACCCTTTTCAGATACTTGAATGATATATTTATCAAAAATCTCTTCAAGATGATAAGTACCTAAAAGAGCGATATCATCTTTACTATTAGTTTTCAATAAATGTTGAAAATATGTATGATCATTATAGACTGACTCAAAATCAAGGTCTGCTATACCTAAAAAGAACCTTATTGCTTCATTTATTTCTTCAAAGTTAGGTTCGAAAATTTTTTGTATAAATAGCATGATAGTATGTGAAAGAAGTTAATATAAAATTATATAGAAAATCCTAAATCTTCAAAATAAAAATTTTAAGCGAATACGCTTGCTGGAAAAATACTGGGTCAGTGGTAGTAACCAAAAGTAATTGATATAATAATAACCCAAAATAATCATACATAGGGATACCCAAAAATAGCAATTATACGAGAAATAGTTCTAAGAATGCGAAAGCGTAAAATAAGATATAAATTTGGTAGCATTCCAAAGCAGAATTATATATAAAAAAGAAAATAAGAAGTTATGCTTTGGTATACTACTAGCAATAGGCAGGAAAAAGGCTAGGAAAGTAGAAAAACTTAGAAGAATAAACGAAAAAAAGGTATGAAAGCTATAAATTCTGAAACAATTCAGCATTTCATATCTCATCCTCAGCAATCAAATAGACTATAAAAGGTGGGATTGCATAACACTAATACTTCTTATGTAAAGTGGGTGAATAGATTGCAATACATCTTTAGCAAATGGATGGATTGCAAATTTAATACTTCATGCCTTATCCAGTAATCAAAAAATGGCAATTGAAAAAAAAGCAACTATGTAAGGATATTTCAGCATCAGAACAGTATTACATGATTATAATGCAGTAAGATGCAGTATTAATTCGCTTATTTTCGGCCAACACCATTCCATAAATTTGGCCAGAAGTTTGGATATAATAATTCAACACCCAAGCTAACATAAAACTGGCGAACTAATGGAACTTCTCTGGCATCTTGCTATAGTTCTATGATACTACCACAACACTATTATAACGTCAAGCTGGATTTCTAAATTACATGCCCAAAGATTATCTGGAATTATAGCATAGTGTCAGCCAAAATTAAATGTAAATTTACTGCACCACCTGATACATTTTTTTATCGCAATTTAGAATTTTAACAGGTAATTAAGTAGGCGAAAAAAAATGCATTCTCAATATCTTAACAGGCCACCAAATAGGTCCAGAAGCAGAAAAACAAGCAGATAGTTCTTTAGAAACAAAAGAAGCACAAAACATTGTAAACTAGTGATACCTGATGAAATTATCTTTCTTAATATGATGAAATTGATGAAACTGAAATAACGAAACTAGTATTTTATTAATGACAAAATTATTTTACTTAATTGCCGAAATTATATTTAATTTGATCTAAATTCCTTGAATTAAAATACATTAAAAAATATAATAATTTTATATTTATTCATATAAAAATATTAAAGAGACGAAACTTTTGACGAAATTACAATTTTTCAAAAAAGAGTTTAGTCAGGTATTACTATTTTAAATACATAAATAGTTCTTTGATAATAAAAAAAGGATAGAGCAATAAAATCAAGCAGATAACTACAAGGTAATAAAAAGAATACGGAAAGGTGAAATCATATGAATAACATTTTGACAATAAAAAGCCATAAAACATCAAAAACAGTAAGTAGGTAATAATATAATCATAAATAGGTAACAATATAATCATAAGTAGGTAATAATATAACATAAATAGGTTAAAATAATCTCGAGAAAATATGATGATCATATAATATAACTATATTATATGATCATCATATTTTCTCGAGGTTATTTTAACCTATTGCATCAAATACATTTTAAATTAATTAGCTGTGAAAAATATTTATATTTGCACAATTTATTTTCTTAAGACACATATAAGATAAGTTTTCCATCAAGTGAAAATTCATTATATTCGTTATCATTGCATTCATCTAAATTATCATCAGAATCATTATCAACTGTCTGATCTATATTATTATTATTATTATTAATGGTATTAATTTTACCAAAAGAATATTTTTTATGAGTAATTAAAGGGAAATTAAAGAGTTGTTTATTATAATTGTT